AAAGGCAGTATTCAGAGGAACTGGATCCAGGTCAGACCTCTCCAGTACTTCCAGGTAATATGTCAGTTTTGAAAATGAACCATTTATACTTACTATTGGATTATCCAACAAAATCTGTACAACTAAATCCGTATAATACTGTTTAAAATATTGCAATGTCGAATTGTCATAAACCTTGCTGGAATCTAGATATGTTGCAGCACACATCCACAAGAGAAGTTACATGATCACAGGAGAAAATTAGATTGGTTGACACTACTTATTATTGACAAATCCTGCAGGGTGGTTATTCATTTGTTATCTTGCTGCTCCATACAGGTATTTTGTTTTATTTCAAATTTCTTTTTTTCTGTTTCGTTTTTTCAAAACTGAGTCCCAAATTTACCTGCCTACCGATAATACAGAATAAAGTGTTTTCAAATTTCTAGAGTATTATAATAAATTACACCAAGCAGAATCAAAAGTTACAATGCGTAGATGCTGTGTGTTTCATCATCAACACAGGTTACATAGACACTTAGCACCCAAGTTTCAGCAGTGGTACTTACTTAAACCGTTCACATTTGTGTAATCCCTACATATTTCTTGAAACCTTGTAGTCCTTGACAAGGACTAACTAGCATGACATGTCCTGGGATAACTGGAGGTTTCCAAACAATTCCGATGGAGAGTATGGGATTTTAGCACTATTGGGAATAGTTTCTAATAGGCAGTTTGAATGCAGACACCCTGCTTTGGTGGATGAAAAGAATTTAAAAGTGTGGAATTAGCTAGACCATGACAATTAGCTTCATGACCTGGTACCATTTATTTTAACAGTATAAACATATTAATAATAACTACAAGTACTTCTACCTTTCCTTACCTCTAAATTTGAATCACAGACATAGGACAAAGTCATAGAACTCTAGAATACCCTGAATTGGAAGGGATCCATAAGGATCATTGAAGTCCAACTTACGGCCTGGCACAGGACCACCCCAAGAATCACACCATGTTTGTTTGACATTTTTTGGCAAAGAGGCACCTTAATACAGCTGATTTAGACCCAAGAACCAGTATCTTAGTCCTTTCTGATTTTCCTTATTTAGATGCCTACAGAATTCATCATGTTCTGGAGATTCAGTTTTCATTAAAACCAGTCAGGGGCAATATGAAAAAAAAAGAAAGCCCAATTTAGCAAAGTAATTTTTTATGTTCTTGATGACCCTGAATCCTAGGTTGCTAATGTCCTATGAAAAAATAATCTAAATGAAACCTATCCACATCCAACCTTGTCCCTTTATGAATGATTAAGCTGGACTCTAAAAGCAATGAAGAAAACTCACCACAGGTGACACATTAATGAAACTCTGTTTAATTCTTCAGGAAGGTCCATGCTCAAAAGCAAAGATAAATTTGCAGTTATCACCAATTTTACTTCAAGGCAGCTCTTCAAGTGACCTTCAATCTCTTAAGGTTATCCTTTCTCTAAATTTTAAATCAATTGCATTAATAAGAGCTATTCAGGTCTGGGCAAACATTATGTAACTGACATTAATAGGCTGCATTAATCTAGGACATAACAAGACCTCTTCTGCTTTCAGTTACTTTTGCCAAGTTTTATATGACACCTTTGTGATATATATATCTGAAAGATTCATAATTTGGTTGCTTTTAAAGCAAATTTTCACAGGACCTATACATTTTTGATAGTTCACGTTTGCTCCTTCAATATTTATGTTTTATTTCTTTGACCTGCCCAAATTCATTATATTCTTTCTCAGTTTTTGGCAGAGAAAAATCCAATGTTTTTTGCTATCAGTTCTATCTTAAATTTCAACCTCTGAAATTAGGGTCCTAATTGTATCGTGCCTTTTATTTATATTTGGAATAGAAATAGCGGGATAAATTTGTATCACCTAAATTTAGGCACCTACTTTAGATGATATGCTACGAGGCAAGTCAAGACAGCAAGAGTGGCTCCTATAAAGGATGATTTAAAGCACCGATATCAAGTTTCACATTTTAACAGCTCTCTGGAACAGAATAATTTTCTGCACTGAATATCTAGGCAGTTTATGGAGACTAGCCTGTTTATTTAGGAAATCAAACTATGTAGCTAGTGATAGGTTGTATGACTGTCCTCAATACTTCTTAAAAATTGAGGAAGAGTGTGTCTTCCTTTTTTCAACTAAACTCATTATGTGTGCCCAAATTGATAAGAAAAAACTTTTAATTGTTACTAAAGTACTTGCCGTAGACAGTTCATGCAACAAAAGATATCCAAATTAAATACCTTTTCCCCTGGCACTCATAATCACCTGTTTTTCATATCAGTTTAATTAATAATTAAAATCCAGGGCAAAGAAAGTAATTAAATCATAGAATTATAGAATATTTGGGGCTGGAAGTGAGCTTTAAATGTCCTTTAGGTCAACCCCACTGCAATAAGCAGGGACACCTTCAACTAGATCAGATTGCTCAGAGACTAATCTGACCTTGAATGTTTCCAGGGATGGGGCATCCACGGCCTCTCCAGGAAACCTGTGCCAGGGCTTTAGCACCCTCAGTGTGAAAAAACTTCTTCCTAACTTCAGACTTCTAATCTGAATCAATCCTCTTTCAGTTTAAAATTATTACCCCTTGTCCTATTACAACAGCTCTTGCTAAATAGTTTGTCCAAATCATTCTTTTAGGCCCCCTTTCACATACTGAAAAGCTGCAGTAAGGTCACCCTGGAGCCTTCTCTTCTCCAGGATAAACAGCCTCCCCTCTTTCAGTCTTTCCTATAGGAGAGGTGTTCCATCCTTTTGACCATCTTTGTGGCCCTCCTTTGGATCTGTTAGAACTGATCCATGTCCTTGAACAGGATGCAGCACTCCAGGTGTGGGTCTCGAGAGCAGAGCAGAGGAGCAGAATCACCTCCCCTGATCTAATGGCACTCTATTTTAGATGCAGCCCAGGACATGCTTGGCTTTCTGGGCTGCAAGTGCACATTGCTGGGTCATGCCCAGCCTCTCATTCACCAGCATCCCCAATTTCTTCTTGGCAGGGCTGCTCTCAATCTATTCAGTCCCCAGCCCGTATTGCTACTGGCAATTAATTACCTCGACTCAGGTACAGGACCTGCCATTGGGTTTTTTTGAACACCCTGAAGTTCCCACTGACCCACTTTTCAAGCTTGTCCAGGTCCTTCTGGATGGCATTGACTACTCTCCACTGGATCCAACCATCCAACAAATTCCTTATCAACTGGACAGTCCACCCATCAAATCCATTTCCCTCCAATTTAGACAGAAGGATGTTGTGGGGGATCATGTCAAAGGCATTACAGAAGTCCAGATAAATGGCATCTGTAGCCCTTCCTTGTTCCCTGATGCGATCACCCCACCATAGAAGGCTATAGGGTTGGTCAGGCAGGACTTGCCCTCGGTGAAGGCATGATGGTTGTCTCAAATCACCTCCCTGTCCTCCAAGTGTTTTAATACAGCTTCTAGGAGGATCTGCTCCATGATCTTCCCAAGAACAGAGGCTGACATATTTCCTGGGTTCCTCCTTTATATCCTGCTTAAAAATCGGTGCAATGTTTCCCTTTTTCAGTCACCTGGGAATCCACCCTACTGCCATGAAATTTCAGGTATCATGGAGAGTGATTTGGCAACTAAATCAGCCAATTCTCTCAGGACTCTGGGGTGCATCTCATCAGGTCCTGTAGACTTATGTATGTTCAGTTTCCTCAAGTGGTCATGAACCTGATCCTTCTTACAGTGGGAGGGACTTTGCTCTCCCATTCCCCACCTTGCAGCCCATCCTCTTGCAAGGTGTCAGAAGAGAGATTTCCAATGAAGACTAAATGCTAAATTCTTATACAGAATAGGTATTTATTTTGGTTTTAGGGGTAACTCGATTATCTACTATACATAGAATTGAAGTCTGTTGTGGGTTTTGAGGTATATTTTTTCAAAGGATTAACCCAAATATAAGAAAACAGTTTCCTGTGTAAGAAAATGTCAATGCTTAAATATTTTAATAACTTCTGGAAAAGCCTATATATGTCCAAGTACTTTGTACAAATAAGATGATGAAATAGTGACATGTGAAAGAGTATTCAATATGTCAAATTAATAAATATTTATTTGATCCTGATATGAAGAATTTTTTGACTCAGTCTTTGACTTCTATAATAAAAATTCCATAATTGATTTCTGCAGTCAAATGCTATAAAAGGCACCTTCTCTATTTTTCACTTCTATAATCTACAAACCCAGCATTTTTGAAAACAGCCAGAATTAGGCTCTGTGTTCTTGAGTAATAATGCTAGATTGATGCAATGAAAGCAGATGTAAGAGAAACTCATTAGTTTTATAATGCAAACTTCAGACTACTTTCCAGAATTAATTAATTAGTCTGGAAAATCCTTCTATTACATTTTAAAAAGCACTGTTACAGGAAGTAAGAATGCTTTCCAAAGCAGTCAATTAATCTGATTTTGGGACATTTGCCTAGTTGGCGTAGAAGAAATATATCAACAGACTCCTGAACTCCAAAAATCACAGACGAACAAACACAGTCTGCATAGCCTGATACATGTCAAACAGATTGGATTTGGAATTCACTCCTTGGCTATCAGTGCACATAGAATCATTGAATCATAGAATTAACTGGGTTGGAAGAGACCTGATACAAATTGAGAGCTAACAGATTCATTACTGCAGTGTTGCATGCAAACATACACTACGCTTTCCAAGACCTGGCTGGGAGTTCCACTGTTCCCCTCTCATGTATTTCATGGTTCTATATAATCCAGCTTTTAGGTTTACAGTGAAAGATTCTACTCATAACTGTGGATTAGTAAGAATAGTAATAATCTGCTGTATTGCATAGGCAATTTCAGAATTTCAAACCATAGTTTTATAATTTTAAAACAGACTAGATACGCATATGCAAGCTCTACAAATTTTCCAACAATGTAATAATGAGAATTAAAAAAAAAAAGGATAATCTAATAGAAGTCTTACCTGGTCTGATGGAGAACAGCATTTATTTGCCATTTTCATCTATGACAGAGATGGAAGAACACACAGAGTTATTTATATGCTGAAGAGTTTCTGTGATGCAATTAGCATTGATTGACTTAGTTATGGAATATAGTATTAATAGTTCAAAATTATATTTGTTAGAAATTTAATCATTCAGTGCTTAAATACTAGAGTTTTATTATTATACTGAATTTTGAAAAACAAGATTTGAAAGACAAAAGCCTTTTATCAGAGTTTTCATTAAATCATTCATAAAGATTTGCATGTATGACTTTAACTTTGCCACTCTGAGCGAAAATATTGTACTGTACTGTAGACACCTCACTCAGTTAAACAATTGCTTAAGTAGATTTACAAATGAGGTCTGTGATTAAGTACTTGCAAAACGAAGACAACAGAGTCTAAGATGTGTTGAAGATGAAAGTAAAATAGTATGGGCTTTCCATTTAGTTTGCTCTTCAAGGTAAAGTTACATCTCTCTCTTTTTCTCTTTGTTTAGGCAAAGAAGAGTTTTGTTCATTTTGGCTTTTCTCTGGCAATCATAGTTTGCACAGATGAGTGGTAGACAAACCCTGACATATATTCCCTTCTTTAAAGTGTAACACTTCAAAGTGCAATATTGGTAAGTGTAAATAAGAATCTAGAAAGAAATAGATTAGACTAGAAAAACAGACTCCCCTATATACAATGAGTAAGTTGAAAATTGTCCTAGAGTTGATGAGTACTTCCAAAGGACCTTGTTGTCAAAAAGCCTGTTTTAGAAGAAATGAAAGGCTTGTGATAAGAAAACCAAAACCTATACATATGGAAAACTATGACTGCCACAGGAAATGAGCAGTATAGTAGGTTCAGATGGGCCTGGAAAAAAAGTGTGTGTGAGACTGGCCATGCAGGTTTTTCTGCAAAATGAGGGTAGAGTATTGTGAAGTGCTACCTCATAAGCAGTTCAGCTTCCCATTGGTAAGGGCAAGAAGGAATAATGCCTTGGACTCCACAGCTATTCACTGCACAGTCTTAGCTCACTCCCTATTCAAAGCAGGGATGGCTGCAGCCCTGATGTAACTGTGGGGAGAGGAAAGATCTTCTATATCATATTATGTCCCTATGACATGGACCTGAGAAGTATGTACTCTCCACCCAGGCACCAAATGTTCTCTACATGCCACCACAGCTGGTGCAGAGAGACAGGAATGTGATACACTTACCTTGCTGGCAGTGCATAGGTTCTCAGCACTGCAGTACAGTAACAGGAGCTGAAGACAGCAGGGGAACTAAAACAAAAAACCTGGATCTGCAAAGACTGCAGGGAACTTTAAAAAGGAGCTATTAAACAAATTGTAATTCCTATACTCTGTTCTGAATGGATACATACAGGTCAGGAACAGACTGGGGATTAAACAGTTCAGAATCCTTTACCTAAATCTAAATACCTCCCAGGCTGGGATTTATCTCACATATAATACACCTATATTCTCTTTCCAGACAACAGTGAGAGTGAAGGATCTTGACAAGCAACTATTTTTTTAACTAGCTATAATAGTAATTAACTATTATTAACTCAACTGCAATACAGAATATCACTCAGATACGTGTTTAGGTGAAGGAATAAAAGAGAAGGTTTGCACAGTATAAGTTAAACGATTAAAAAAGCTGTAAAAGGTATTAATATGATCTGGATTAATAAACCTACTTCGATGCCAAATTTTGGGTTTCTACAATCCTTCAATGAAATTGCTTAAATGATTTATAAAAACATAAATAATTTTTAAAGTGGAACAAGTGCATCATAACTTGTTCTCTTATCTGCTTATGAGATATTTATTTATGAATTTTTTTTTTTTAAATAAGATGACTAGAATATGCTGGGGAAAAATACAAAACCTTGAGACAGTTACAAACATAAGAAATAAGTCTCTATAATGTAGATGAACTGGTAGCATTACCTTTCGGTGCTTCTACCCATTATGACTACATTAATGTTTGGTGCCATATTTTAAAGAAAAAAAGCTGCACATATCTAATAACTGGCAATTTGAATGCTGCAAAATAGAGAGAGAAATATATATTATCCCAAAAAATCTCTCCTAAAAAATCATCTCCATCACAAATTGTCACTTCAGCCTACAAAGAACCCTCCCTCTAAAGAAATTAAGAACAGCAGCAGTGAGAAGCACATGCAGATTAACTTGTTTCCTGTGCTTCTTGTTTCATCATGGAATATTCACCGACAGTTTCTGTTACCTCTCTTCCCTCAGTTTCTTCAATTGCACCTCCTTCTGCGAGCAAAGAAATGCATGAAGAAATAAATCTGAGATGCTGATTCACCTCTATTTATTTCTGCCAAACGTAAATGGGAAGAGCTTTGAGAACATTGAAACTGGGGATTGAATCACAAAGGAAGATGACAGGGTAGTTTCATGCTGGTAGAAAAGTATGTGAAAAAAATCAGAATATGAACAGAGAGATGAATAATTTGGAGCGAGTGTCCTCAGAAAAAAAATGTAATGCATGCTGCTTGCAAAGCCAATTGTTACTAGGAGATTTTCTGAGCTAAGCATACAAAACATGTGTCAGTAAGGAGGGCTGAACAGATGCCCTTACATTTTTCTCCATGTTGCTGTACTTCCTGTGCTCCTCTGTCATCTAAGAACTAACTCTGTCCAGGCTGGTACCAGAATCATTAGTTCTCATCTACCAAGTACCACTTTCTAAATATGCTAACACACAGGGGCAGAAGCCTTATGCAGTGACAACTCCTCACACCTTCACTGTTGAAAGATGACTCCTCCTTTACACTTGATCCCCAGAGAGCTTGCCTTTGTATAGAAGTTAGATGTTTCAGTACTTCAAAAGAGTAGTCTGACATTAGCAGAAGTGTCACATTGTGGAAGAGCTATTTTTGTACTACCTACATTAGGACTGTCTTCTGACAAAGAGGTGCCAGTTGCTGAACGAAACTATATTAGGGTAAAACAAAAAACCATGAAGTATATTAGGATAAAATGATACAGGAAAGATTGTGTGCAGTGCAAGAAAACAATCTGTATTAGAAGCTCTTTAAGAACTAAAATTCTAAAAGAAATTATTCAAAATTTTATGCAAATATGTAGGACAAAGGATATATATAAGAGTAGCATGAATATGCACAGATTAATTAAGAAAGATTGAGGTGCAGGAAAGCTTGCTAAAGTCATGAAACAAGTACCAGCAAAACAAAATCTAAAAAATGTGTGGAAGTAAAATGTGAACAATGGATAATATTGCTTCAAAACTTAGTAATAGGTCGGGTAAGAATGCTGACATCATGCCAAATGTATCATCAAGAAGGTCCATTGTGACTATGTATCTAATAATTAATTTCCATACAGAGATGATGGCATAGGACAGAACAGGAAATGACTAATTTAAATATTTGGAGAAGTGACTAAATTTAGAGTCAGCAAAGACTCATGAAAATAACCCATAACTAGATAAGGAAGTATCTGGATTTCTGAATGAGTAGTGATTATCTTCAGATACTCCTGGAGAATGGGAGAGACACTGTACAGAAGTGGAAAAGTGCAGAAACAGTGAAGAGCTCTGAAGGAATTACAGATCCATTCCCTAATGTCAATTTCTGAGGTATGACAAGAAAAGAAGGATTCTGTGAAATGGTAGTACTAAGGTACTAAAAAGCATTCAAAATGGACTTTCAAGAAGCCTAATACAAAGGCTTTGCCCTAAACACTGTGGACAGTGGTCTGTGTCCTCTGGCTGCCCAGAGGCAGCAAGTGCTCTCCAGTGCTCTCCTGTTGTAAACTGCTGCACTCCAGCCTCACGATCCTCATCTTAAAAATGGTTTGCCATAAAAGCGATTCTCGCTTATTATTACATCTCCTGTTCTGATACTCAGTAATCAAAATAATGCTCTGGCTGGACCTTTCCGGTTGTACCACAGGTTGCACACCTAAGAAAGTCCATTAAGTCCAAGCAAAAAGTTTATGTGCTTCTTATCTGAGCTACACAGAGTTTACTCTATAACATAGAGTTTACTCTGTAACTCATCAAAAACACAAAAAATGGGAATTCACCTGTTCACGACATTCATGACTGGTATTTCTCAAACCTTTCCTAGGAACGTTTATATTACAACCAGATGGACTACTTTGTTTACAAAATTCACTATTGTAATAGATAAGGGAGAAGACCAATGAAACTACTCACACAGGTCCCACCACAGTGAAGATACTATGTCAGGACATGTATTACTGCAGATAGTGCCTTTGAAACAAACAGACTAGCATGCTATGATAATAAAAGCTCATTGCATTTATAGCCACTTTTTATTGTCCTATTCACTTATATCCTTGGACTGGCTGTTATTCAGTTCATTTCATTAAAAAGAAAACCGAACTGTCTTAGTAACTATGAACTGGAATTGCTCTAAAATATTACTATGCACTTTCTTAGAATTGTAAAATAATAATATTGTGTACATGATGTAAATCACTAAACAGAGATTAATTATAAAGAATGCATCATAAGCAAAAATGATTTTGTCAAAGAGATTGCTTAAGCAATTGAATATTTTAAAAGATTTAATGGAATAAATGAACTATTGTGATTAAATAGGATTCCACGGAACTTTTGATGACTAGAAAATAAATTAAATTTAAATCTCTGTTAACCAAAGGTTTATATTGAAATCCAATAGGCAAAATTCTACGCAATATAATCTGAAGAACTAAGAAACAGTTCATCTAGAGTACAAAGCATAAATTAAAGTCATGCTACTAAATTTAATTTATAAAAGACATTACAGATTCAACATATTTAAGAAAAAAATATTTAAACCTCTACAGGCAATTCTTTCAGGGATAACAGTGCTTTTATTTTTATATTTTCAACACTGATTTTTACCATTTCTTAAAGGCAAATATATTTTCAATATTGTACATTATCTAGTTCCCTATTTAACTTTATGGTTCATTCCAAAATCCTCAATAGTTTTTAGCTGTTCTTTGTTGTAATAATAACGTGCTGTCCAAATAGCAATTTTCTGTTTCACCTGGGATTAGATAATACTTCTGCTTGCAACAGAAAATGTTACTTATTAATTCACAGGAATAACTTAAAATAGCATAAGCACCTTTATACTTCTAGGGAGAAAGGAGAAAGATGGAATAATATGACCTTAAATAAACCAACTCTTAGACAACTTAGAGAGGTAAAAATAATGTCTCCCAGTAAGCATCTGTAAATCACCCTTCACTAGCTATGGAATTTTCACATGCCTACTTCAAAATCAACAAATGTTAATCTCAAGCACAGTTTAATTATAAAAATGTAAAAATTATACATTTGGTCATGTCTAAAGCTCTGTGAAATTACCACTATGGATAAACATTTTGCCTAAAAAGTCTTAAAAATAATAAATGCAATGTTTTTCTACTACTCTCTGTTCTATGATAACACTGCAAGTCCTGGGAACTTCATGATAGTTGTGATCAGACAACCTCTCCCTGATTTTCCTTTCTCCTTTTTCTCTTCAAACACAAGCACTTTATATATTGCCTCTTATATGTGAATTGTTTTCTACCCTTTGAAAACTAGAAATAATTTTACAATAGCATAGACAAGAAAATATGCAGAAAGTAACATACATTTTGAAGTGTCAAATCACTGATGTTAGTTGACATTGCTCTCAGCCAGTCAGCACTCTCCTGGGCTGTATAAAACTGAAGTATCCCAGTACTAACTCCATCAAGCGCCAGCACTTCAAATGCATTAGATCTGCAGTAAGAAGAAATATCCATAAAGGAAGATACATCAGTTTTCTGAAGCTGCCCAATATATATCAGTGTTCAAGTGATTTTTATGCCTTTTGACAAGTTTTGCGTGTTTATTTTACAAATCAAAAGAAAAGCAACAAAAAGAAGAATAAGAATGGGCAGTAGCAGGAACAACAGATACAATAAGTACTTTCTCTGTACCAGCATGCATGTGTTGATGATAATTTACTTCCCCTGAGTACACATATTACATTCATAATTGCCGAACTTAAGGTAGTGGATTCAGAAAGTATGCATTAGATCTTTTTGAACAAACATAAATTTTTTTTAAACCGAATTGCCAATTTTCTTCCTTGCACTTTAGCTTCATTTACTAGGAATGTACAAAAATGCAAAGAAATGTATTCCCAACATTCATTTCTTGGTTTGTAGTATTTTTCTACATATCATTCAAGGCAATGTTTTCTTTACGCTCTTTTATGACATAGGAATTTGAAAATTGTTCTTAGAAGTTTCTTTAAGTATTTTTTGTTAAACAAATTTCTCAAAACAGCATTGATACATGGGAATGTGCAATTGCATTTTATTAACTTTTAATGTAACTTTCACATGTTTATAGCATCTTTACTCTGCAACTGCCAATGGCTTCCTTACTATCTGCAGTAAGCTATGTATTGTGTATGTACCTCTGAAACCCCCTGCATTTGGTTGCTGCTGGGATATGCTTTTTTTACTACAAGATTTTTCAATAGGAACAACAAAAGCTCATTAAGTAGTTGCATGGAAGTACACTGATCTAAATGTAAAAAAGTTGCAGTAACTAAACTTCAGAAAGATTCATAGATTATTTAAATGCCTATGACTGTCAGGAGAATTACATTTTAGTCATGCTATTGTGAAAGACAATTACAATTATCTGAATGATTGTCTATGTTTGTTGTGTATATAATATGGAGAATATTACTGCTACCTTCTACACTTACACATTAGATATTTATACTTATAGCTGCGTTGCTTCATTTTTGGTACTAACTTAGAAGAAAGCCAACTACTGAATCCAAAATACTGCTCTATGAAGTTGCTGAGTTTTCCTAGGGTTCTCTGATCTAAGGTGGAGTCTTCTACTGCTTAATCCACAATATATGTCAACATAATCATTCAAAATGACACACAGAAGTTCACACGCAGTTATTCATTCAGGACTTAGTGAAAAAGTTTTTTAACTAACCTTTGTCATTTGTAAGGATTTCAATGGTGAACGAGAATATTGAACTCTATTACTTGCCAAAAAAGGTAACATCACATACAATCTTAATAAGAAAAAGTATCTCAATAGATATATATGACAGCGTTTACTGTTAAAAGAGTCATAAAGCATTATACTTGCTTTTTGCAAAAATTACATGCTTGGCCTGAAGACTTAAATATATATCAGCTGATTTCTTGTTTTACTTTCATGATTGAATTATCACGGTAACTACTAAAACCTGATGGCAATGGCACAATTCTGTCACTTTCATTTAGTAAATCTGTTTCACCTCAGAAAGAAAGAAAAGGTCAAAACAAATAATTTTATTGTCTTCAAGTAAACTGAGTCAATCACCTCTCAAGCACATTGTTCCTTTTACCTAAGGCTCTGACAAAGATCCCCAACAGCACTGTAATGAAATGACTTATGATATGATCTTGTCAGCATCCCACTGAGACAGTGAAAATCCCTATGCATTGATACACAGAGGAAGCTGGAAACAGACTTAATTTGGTGCTGTGAAGAGAAGCCACTCACAATAGCCAGCTTAGATAACCAATTCAAATATCAAAGCTAAGATGGTAAATCCTTACACAGTGAGAGGACAATCCTTGGAATGGGCTTTATCACTGAACGTGTGCTGAGCTGACTCCTGCTCCAAGGAGTGTCCACCAAGATCCCCAAGCCCTTCCTGCAGAGCTGTTCCCTTGCTCCAGCAGACTGACACCAGGACATCCTTCCCCAGGATCTCGGTCTGGTTCAAGGAATCTGATGTGCCAGTGGTGCTCAGCTGCCAGGCACATGGGACTGAGACCTTTGGGGCACTGCTCTCCCTACTGTGCTGACTTGGGCAGGAAGGTAGTATTACCTGAGAGCAGTTTAGTGCATTAAATGATATACGAAATGAAAGAGCTAAGGCTTTTCAAAGTAAATTATGCCAGCCATGAAGCCTGTGCCAGTAACACACTGATTTTACTCTCAACTCTCAACTTTAATCAACTTTACTATGATTATTTCTTGCCTTCAGTTTCACTAATTTCCCTCTGAAAATCCCATAATATATTGATATTGTTCTGAAAAGCATAGTGTGTAGAACGCTACTAGTAAAAACAAATATTCAAACTAAAAATAAAAGTTTACCAAAAGGAATCCTGAGGCTTTTAAGTGAAACGATCAATTCAAGTACTGAGATAGCACTGGAATTCAGGAGAAAATAAATCTGAGAGGCTTAAATGCCATGCCTTTCTCTCTACCATTTCCCCAAAACACAGAAAAGAAAAAAAATAAAGAGGTAGAGCAAAGCGCTGAGGAGCTTTCCATTTAATACCAAATAGTAAGTTTGAGAGGTCTCAAGATGCTGTAAAGTTGCTGTGGTTTTGGTTTAGGTTTTTTGGGGGGGTTGTTTAGTCTGTTTGTTTGGTTGGTTTTGTTTGCTTTCTGAGGCTACCATTTTAAAGACCATTTTAAAACATAGTCAGAGGAATTTGCCACCTCTTCCATTACAGCAGTTGTGGTACTGACTACTGCAACTTTAATCAGAAATGTATATTTTCATTTCCTAAATTCCAGAAATTTGTGTCAAATTAGCCTCACATATCTTGATTTCAGATTTGTCTCCCAGTCTGTAACTTTGTTTCCCTTAAGCATTTCTGCCAAGGAGCATGAGGCACTGTTTTCCATACTCGGTCTCTTACTATCTATCTCATTTTCGTGGTGAAATGATGAATGGACCTGCATTCCAGGTGTCTTCTGGGGTTTGTTTATGGCAGTAATTTCTTTTAGTAAAATAAACACTCTCTTTGTGAGAATGGCAGACAGAATAACAGATGAATATTGGCAGACTTCATGCTATCTTTTAGACATTGACACTTTTAAACAAGTAATGTTAATTAATATTAATAAAGCATATTTTGCCATACAAGTAGTTAGATACTTTAGAGGTGTCAAATTAAAAGATTGTTCTAAGATAAAATGTATTTTCAGTGCCAGATGAAATGGTAAAACTGAATTTTTACTTTACTGGAGGCTAAGAATTTCAGCAAAACATATTTTTAGATTTCTCAGTATCTGTGGCATGTGAAAACATCTCTCCATTAGAATTATATAGCTATTTTATTGTGTTTCCCCTATAAAAACCTAGACACATGTCTGACAGCAGCTGTTTTACCTGAAGTTTACTACCATGCTGATACAGACAGATAGATTTGATCTACTTTGCATCTTCCCAGGTCTTAAATCTGTATTCCTTCCTGTTTGTATGATTTCTTTGACGTCTGAGTTGAGTGTTTAATGCTTTTGTTCCAACATTTTTTCGTGGTTTGTTTATGGTACTATATGACCCTCTTGCTAGAATTTATATTTAAACTGAAATTTTATGGACTATGGGTGGATGTGAGTGGAAATTCTCCATAAAGAATTATCTGAATTACTTAATCTCTTTGAAATGTCATGTTAAAAATAATAGGATTGTGTGACATGTAAATGTCATATAGTCTCATACCTTAAACAATATTCAAATGTGCTCATATATCTGGATTATTAACAGAAACTACGTAGCTAAAAATATATCAAAGCATTAAACATAAACTTGGATTACATTTTATGTTTGTGGTTTTTTTGGGGAGCATTTTGCTTCCAGCATTGTAACTTTTGTTTATTACACTTAGAGCAATCAAATAAGATAACTGAAGTAACATAGACAGTATGCTTCTACAGAGATTTTCTAACTGATATGCCAAAAAACTGTGAGTGAGTACTCATTCAGGTTTTGTAACTCAGATTATGTTTAATTCCTAGATCTGTCTCAAAATGGTTTCTTCCACTTGTTAGTTTTCAATTTATTTACCTAATTAAGACATTTTGTTACCTTACTAAAATGTTAAATGGAAAATACAATCCTTCAGAAAGATTCTGTTAAAAAACAGTGAGTACATTAAAAAAATAAATCAACTGCACAATACTCTGTAGTAATTTCAGTGGCCAGAATAACAAGGAATAGAAACCAACTCCTAAATGTAATTAAGTTATTTAGTATGGGGATCATAGTTACATGGGCTCTTAGATACCAGGCCTGAATTACTTCCACTCAATTCTTCACTTTTCCATATTCTAAATAAGCATTTTTTCTTCAGTGTCTAAACTCATAATATTCAAGGGCTTATATTTACTGTACCTTCACTCAAAGCTCCAGTCAATACAGTGTATAAAAATTACTATACAGTACTACCAGTATCTGCTGTAAGGACTAAAAAGACTTATCTACATTTTCCCAAATAACAATTTAGACATTTCATAAGAAAACTGAAATGATGAATTACATCATTTGAGTTCTACATGAACTACAATGAATGAACTACATTTTCCACTTTCTATAAGACTACTTATCTTTACTTCTATATCTTAAATAAATCCCCCCACAAAACTTACTATGAACTACAAACTCTTTTGGCTGAGAAAGACCTACTGATCTCATTATTTCTCTGTTAAACTTACACCAGACTTATTGACCAACTCTATCCTCAACATGCAAAAAATATTTCCAACCACCAATTAAGCATATTCAGAGCAACAGTATTCCCACTGTATTTATTACCTTGCTTCTTACAGAGAAAAACTACACTGATGGATTGGTGAGAAGTGTAGAATAATAGAAGTAGTAATGCTGTATTATAAAGGCAATTGAATTAAAAAATTACTGAATTGATAAATAATCCAAAAGATTAATCAGCCTGCTGGATATAAATATTGAGATAGACTCCAATCATATCAACAATGTGACGTACACTAATTCAGGGTGATTTCACTAGTTAATACAATGTTTAATCATCCATTGAGAAAATGAATGGCATCTATTACATTTCTTAACTTTCCTTTAAAATATTCTGGGGAATTTTTTTGCTTTTGTTTTGTGGTATGGACAAACATACTTGACAGTCACACTCTGCAGTATTTTCAGTCATTCCTTTATGAAAAGGAAAAAATATATCCCATTCTCTCTTGTTTCTCTTAATATATATGGTGTTGACAGAATCTAAAACATATAGAAAAACATGCTCCTGTGTCATTGAGTCACCAGTCTAAAGACTTCCTCAGAAAAAAAACAATAAAAATTCTAGTGTTATGAAAAGCCAAAGGTAACTCCTTCCTCTTCAAATTAAAAAAAAAAAACAAACAACAACCAAACATATACATGTGATCCTGGCCATCTCATGACACAAGAGTATGCTGAAAACATGCCCTTCTTTACCAATGTTACCAGAAAACTCTTATGGAGTACAGAAGAATTTAAAGTGCACAGTTTACCCCAAAGGAAACAATCCAGCCAAATCTGACTAGATAAGAATAGATTTGAGCTAGGCACACTAAAAGTAATAAATAATAATAATATAATAATAATGGCCATTATTATTATTATTATTATTATTATTATTATTATTATTATTATTGAAAAATGAATATTGAGCAAGATGTTGACATGCCATACATTGTCATACTTAGTTGTTTGGTTTTTTTTTTTGTTTGGGGTTTTTGTTGGTTTTTTTTTTTTTTAAATAAAGGTAACAAAAAGATGGTATTCAGGAAGAATATCAGACTCTGTTTGACCTTATGACAGACAATCTTTTTTCTTGTTCCTAAGGTTATCTGTGAGTTATTTAAAGAAAAAGAATGCTGAAAATATGAAACAATCTTGAAGATTGTCTGGAGAAGTAAAGTGAATGAGGTCAGAGGAGCCATCCAGACTGGCTGATGGCAGTTTACCACATCAGAACAGCAGGAGTACCTGGATTCTCATTTACAGACAGTATACATAGCATATACAATAAAATACTATACATTTTTTTCAAAATCAGTCTGGGATTGAGTATAGCAACAAAAGTATGGAAAGTTCTGCTGTAGGCAATTGTAATAATTCCACAGGTGTAAAAGATGTGTTCATATTGGGGAAAAGAGGAATTGAAGAACGCAGAATGTGCATTACCTGTGAGTGGACAGACAGGCTTCAATAATCTTTCGTAAGCCATAATATTTTTCATAGTTAAAAAGCAATGCCAAAAGCCAAAGGGCTGTAGGCAATATTTGATGGAAAGAATTATCCAGCCCTCTCTGAATTTAATTCTGGTAAGAAGTAGGGGAAAAGACCTTTTATACAGTCCATCTAGCTGAGCAGAAAGCACACAGTTGTGTATGTGACACTACAAATTATAGTTCCAACACTGCAACACTCAATAACACTGACTTCAAAAGTAATCTGGCTGTTCTGATGCCAGGGCACCTCTGCAAGACCAATTGAGGTAACTTAGTGGATAAAATATAATGAAGCATTGCAACAAAACAAAGTTAGGACAAAGAACACAAGAAAGGCAAAAAGTTAAAAGGTTGACAGACTCATGGACTCATATAATACAGAAAAAAACAAGCATGCTGTCAAAGATTGTATGCAAACAGGCTTAAAGTAAATATTCAGAGTATGGAAAAATTAGCAAATTGGTCAGAAGGATCTGTGATACGTTCAGAGAAATGACTCACTCCAGACTTTAGACTGATGACTGAAATGTGAAAGGGAACAGAGATGTGTAGATATGGCTGAAAGCAGGATTGTTATTTAGACTGATCATAGGTTTTGTTTCATGCAAAGCAGATATTTGATTTTAGTGAGCAATTACTGAAGACAAATGTTGGAAGTTATGCTTATATGAACATGGGGAAATGTAAAACAAAGGATACAAGTGGGATAATAGTAAAAATATGTACCTGCCTTTCAGAGGAGGAGAGTATATGATAAAAGTAGTTTGGTATCCCTCAGGCAAAAATAAACACTTTTATTAAGAACACGGGAAGAACCTCATCCACAGTCAATTTCAAGCCAATATTGCTTTAATCCTCATATAGGTGTTTCTGTTGGTTTACCAAAATAAGCAAGGACCACTTACTAGAACTGAAGTATCATGGGATGGTGATAAGCTCTAAGGAATTATTTCATCTTCCTTCAGAGTGTATACAACAAAAATGAAAATAATCCACCAGTTATTAAGGAGTGGTATGTATACTAAACATATATGGGAATGAGATGCATCACAAGAGAATATGTCTCTGCAAGATTAAAACTGAAAATATTAAGCTCCTCAGTTTTTCCAAGAAAAATGTATCTGTGAGTGCTCCATCCTGGGCCAGCAGCCAAGCATCCACACTGCCACTCACTTCACCACCCTTCTCCAGAGGTGCAGCACAGAGAATATGAAGAACAAAAAAACTCATGAGTTGAAATAAAAACAGTTTAATAAGCAAAGGGAAGAGGAAAATCTCCCAACAAACCAAACCACAATAAAACAAGAGATGCAAAGGCAACCACTCACCACATCTCACAAGCAGAATGATGTCCTGTCAGTCTCCAAGTAAAGGCTAGCTCCCCTCAAGCCCCCTCTGCTCTGTTTTTATTGCTGAGCAATGATGTCATGTGGTATGGAATATTCCTTTGGTCAGTTTGGGTCACTGGCCCTGGTTGCACCTCCTCTCAACTTCTTGCCTACCCCTTGGCCTCTTCACTGAGTGGGAGCAGAGCAAGAAAAAGAGAAGGCCTTGATGGTGCACAAACACTTGTCAGCAACAACCAAAATACTTGTATGCTATTAAAACTGCTAGAGTCACAATCCAAAACACAGCACCATATAGACTACTATGAAGAAAATTAGCTTCATCTCAGCCAGACCCAGTACAATATCTGAAGGTGTTTTACTTCAAAGAATTTTCAAAAGGCACATGCTACTGTTTTGCAAACTAGAATCCCTTGGGATTTCTCCATCTAATGGGTGAAGTGCACAGCACAGGAGTGAAACTGCTTCAAACTGTCAGGGTGATAACTGAAGTCAGAGGTTTAAACGTTCTATCTGCTTTCACTTATCCTTAACATTTTAGAATATTAAGTTGACGATGAGTTGATGTCTAATTGTACACACTGAGATTTGTTCACTTAATTCACAGGAGAACTCCTAAGCTTTGAATGGTTGGGATGGATTGGAAAAGGTTGGACAACATGAACTGGTCAGTTGAAGGGGAGGAAGAAAGTGATGGAGGAAGTGATGAGAGACTAAATAGAACAGAATTAAGAGTTCAAACAAAGTCTGTGGAAGATCCTACAACTTTTCTGGACAATTTATTATTATTCACCTGTGATGCTTTAACACAAAGTCTGGGAGAGGAGCTGCCAAGTGATTTAGGAGATTATTGCACTAACTTAAAGCAGCAAATCTGTTCTACTAGAAAATAATGATTTTCAAGTAATTTTTATGAAAAGGGTAACAAATTTGGTATAGACCAAGAAAGGTTTTAACATGAATTTCTAATACCTCCTGGTAACAGGTGACCTGTACTGTTGATGCTTCAATAGAGATTCCAATTATCTCCTTAATATGTATTAGAAGGAAATAAATACAGGGCAACACATAAAGAACATGGAAAATAACAACAGTGAATGAACTCCTGTTCTGATACATATGGACTACTTGGCCCACTACTACTGGTAGATTTGAGGCACTGCTACCACACGGAATGATGTGCAGGAAAAGCTTATGTATGCTGTGATGTGTTAAAACTTTTCTCAAGCACATTAGTTATTGATGCTTTATTAAACTTCACTTTTGCTTTCATCTTTCCTGAAGTCCAGTAAAATCACCTCTGACATCCTATTCCACAGCTACTTTAGGAACCATTAGTTATGTCTCTGAGTTGCAAAAAAATTCTATGATCAGAAATACAATATTTTTTACCATGTACTTTGCCAGAATCTCTTGTCAATATGAGTCTCTGCATGACAGTGATACACATGGTCTGTATGACATGATAGCACAGTCATGATGATTGTGCATGCTGTTACCATTTATAATGAAAAAGGAGAGTTAGATGACAATATTAGAATTTGCAAATATAGGAGTATTCTACAAGAGATACAGAATCAAATGTAGTACCTTCAAAGTTAATTCAACTAACGCTAAGATTAACCTTTGTACTGGTTGCAGATGCTCACTGAATTCCCAAGATACATACAACAGATTACAGGAATGTATTTGTAGGAGCTTTACCTTATCTTTGGTAATCTCCATGCATGCCATTAATCTTAAGAGAGGATGAACTGCATAGAAGACAAACTTTTTAATAAGACTGTCATATCTCCACTCAAATAATTCTTATAAAGCCAACAGTCCACATCAAAACACTGTGTACAGCTAACTAACCCAGTGCATCCCCTTTTAGATTACAAACCTTAATTTATCTGTTCCAGTTTTGTACCTCGAGATTCGAGCCATCGACAAAGGAACTGATAAGGTGTCTAGCCAGCGCTTCTCATATTTTGGTTCATTAGCTATGGGTGAAGAAGGTGATGATGGGGCCTGTGCAGAATAAATGAGAAACAGTAAGAGCAGTTTATATGACAATACAGTGAAAAAGTCATGAATATGCATCTCTGGCTCTGTTTGTCTCAGAAGTGAATAATCATAGCAATGAAAGTATTCAAGAAACTTGGGATTTGGTAGAGAAATAAAAAGGGTCATTCATGTAGAAAGGAATGCTACATCTTGATATTTTGCTTGTGATGTTAATTTTAATAACTGCTACTAAGAAGGAAACAGCTTTCAGTCATAAATGCCCTGAGTTGTCTCTAAATGTGACATAAAATACATTCTTAGTTTAAATTAATTTGGTCTGTACATATCTTCTACATCCCCCAAAAAATCATCAGAGAAAAGGAGACGAATAATATCCTAATTAAATAATACATTAGAGAATTTATTTGTGCATTGTGGCTTTCATCCCTTGTATTATTTAACAGTAGATTTAAAATTCTGATTCCTGAGTTATCACTATACAGACTGATGAATTTTGAAATTTTATCTTTGAAGTTCTCCTTCAAATGCTTCTACTAGAAAGGCAAAATTGATGAAACTATCTAGGAGTAAAGGATTTCCAGATCTCAGAATAGTGACAATATAAATATTTTACAATCTACTCATTTAATGTTACAAAAGAAAATAACCTTTTATCAAATGTGTTCAAATGCAAATTAAGTTAGGGGAATTAGCCTGGATATCTAGCTATTGATAAAAGGGTCTGCTCAAACCCAACCTAGAGCTTGTATACAGACTGTTCAGCCTGCTCTTACATGTACCATCTTGTGTACTGCAAGTAAATAGTGTATGAGGCCACCAGGAATGAAACACGATTAAAAGAAAATATTCATGAAATTTTAAAAGTTGGCACAGAACCACTAGCACTAAAATATTCAGGAAACTGCAGAGACATATACTTCTTAGTTGATATACTCTTGCAGAATATGTAGGTTCTTTCTGTGTAATAATTTCCAGAGGTTTACACCATTATATCAGTAACTCAAAGTATAGAAGTGTGCCCAAGAAAAGATGGTAACAGGGCTTCTTTGCAAATTATTTCAAAATACTGTTTATGGGCAAAAATCAATTAAATTAAACGGATTGGAAAATGTTGGAAACCACACCTCAGTGTACCAAGTGAAGATTAGGAGAATGATTATGACCTTAAAAAATACTTAATAAATATGTAATAAAATGAGCTAGGAGTTTCTTACAGAATACTTAATAATCATGACTTGAAAACTTTTTATTGGCATTTATAGTCCTGCACTATAGGGCTCTGCATGAAGCTGAGCATGACACCCTTTTATAAAGATAATAATATTAATAGAGAGGTAGCTGAGAAGGATTCAAAGAAACAGATATTTATCTTGAAGTTAGGCATTTTTGCTGTCTCTGAACCAAAATTTTTTGTCCCATATTTTACAGAGAACTTTCTAGTTGAAAGTTGGTTATTTTTATATGAGCTGTATCTATGCACTCATTAGTACTTACAAAAGCAAGGAAACTACAAAATGACCCAACTTCAACTGTGCTATGCCCAGGTGTTCAAAAGCCATAAAACTTACTCAAAATAAAGAGCATTCTGGGAATTGTCTATTTCTTTTTCTTGCCCATAAAGATTTAAGGGTTATTTTTTCTCCTTTCTGTCTATTTACTCCTTTAAATAAATTAAAATAGTGAGTTTCACATTCTAGCAGGATGACTGAGACTTAGTGACTGAGGTACACTTTTCTAATAAATGAAAAATTTGTAATGAATTTGATGGAGATGGTAACAATAAAGATTCTTTTAGACAGAAATCTCTTTGAGGAAAGGAATTTCGTTTAGAGAATTTGCAATCCGTAGAACAATTCAGCTTTCATTTGATTGAGATCTCCTGGTGTTTTTGCAGTATGAATATTTCATAATCAAGTCCAAAGACTAATTATGTTTTATAGAATTAGCCACAGAAGGCTAAGGTGTCTTCAAAGCCCAGTATAAATTTATTAATATCACAGTGAAAAATCTGACACATATTAAAGAATTCCGCACAAACTTAAATAATTGACAGAACCACATGCAATCTGAAGTTGAAAAGGATCAACATAATCTACCATTGTCTGTCTGGAAACTGAAATGTCTAGGAATAAAGCAGAAGGTAGCAATCAATCATAAATGCTTGATAATGATCACTGAATTTAAACTCCAGAATCGGAAAATAAAGGAACATGAAAATTCCTGCAACACCTTCATCTATTGTTCCTATCCTCTAAAGTCTCAAGATACAGAAAACATCTAGACAATTTAAATATACAAATCTGTCTTTTTCTTTTGAACTATTAGCTGTACTTATTCTAGCAGGTTGTTGAACAATATTCTATGATATTGTATGTGATTTCAGAGCATTTGGCAGCCAAAAACTAATGAGTGGGTCACTTAGGCAATTTAATGTTTTCATTTGGTCTCCTCACTTCAATCAAATGCTTTAGTAGCATATCAGTGTAAAGAAAAAATATCTCAATTTAAGTAAAAATTAGAAGATGTACATGATAGTTATTCATTAGGTTAATAAATCGAAGGGGAAAAATGGCCAACACCACTTCATCAAAATCTATTAACTCCAAAGTTATGAAACTGCAGCATAGAAATATTTGTGCCAAAATGCTAAACTTACAATTTCTGTAAGTATATTTTCTTTCCGTATACAAAGAAAATAGGGCTTCTTGAGAAAATTTCAAAGTTTTGATGTTTGAAAAATACACTAGAAGGAGAAATTTATTTCTTTTACCACAGTTCTGTACTACTCATGCCTGCAGAAACCCTACTGCATGGTCTGAACATTAATGACCAAGTACAGGGCAAAGATATAAAGGGGTCAAGCTGATCCATGTTTCAAATGTTATTTCTTAGTAAGCCATATTTCACTAACCAGTCTACGGTAGAGCATAAAGCTGGACTGATCCCTATTCATTTTCTTAAGGACAAAAGAGGGTATAAATATGTTCATAAGACCATTGCACAGAAACAAAATACTGTCACAGGAACAGCAGTTCATTTTGTTCCGTTTAACCTATAATCTATTAACAATTTAATATGTATCCTTTTCAAAGCACACAGACAGAAATAAGAAAATTAGGAGGAAGCAATTAAATGCAACTTTTTCAAACAGAGGACTTGCTTCACAAATCTTTTAGAGTAGTCCAAAGCTGTTAATTAATATGAAAGAAGCATTTGCTAAGGTGTACTTGGGTTTTAAAAAACCTTTTGTCCGTCACAAAAGGTTCTTAACTAATTTGCTGTGAAATAAGGTGAAATCATCAAATTAATAATTATCTAAACTATAGCAAGCAAAACACAGCAGCAACGCACTATGAGTGGACTTGCAAAGTAACGTAGGATGTTCAGTATATAGATTAATGATCTGGACAAGATGGTGAACACCAGACTGACAAAGTTTCCTGTGCATAACAAGTAACAATGAATAATGAAAAGAAACCAAATGGGAAACACCTGTGGAAGAAGGTCATCATAGTGAATGACTGAGAGATAAAAGGACTGCTAAAAATATAATAGATAAATGTATAGCAATGTACATGAAGACAATATTATTTGCCATACTGTAATGGGATGTGAACAGGCAATTAACTCAAAATTTAGATCTTGCAGTTGGTATAAAAGCAGATGTTGAAAGGAACAGAATTGATTTCTAACAATTAAGTTAACAAAGATTCATTAATCTTGATAAGAAACTCGTGATGGAATTGTATGACCAAGGCATGTAAAAAATAAATAATAGAGAAAGGGATTAGGAAACAGTGGTTCACTTGCCACTTTCACATAGGAAGCTGGGCTATTGATCAGAAGTTAAAATCAGTAGGATAAAAACAAAGAATGAATGGATTGCTCTGTATAACAAACTCTGGTTCAGGAAGCACCTATGTCAGAAGTCATTGGAGGTTCAGGAAATATACCCTATAAATAATTGTACATATTTCCCCTTATTTTGCATTCTCTTGAAAGTATTTGCTGGGAACAAGGTTTTTGGCTAGATGGTTCTCTGGTGTGACCCAGTGTGCTTAGCTGGCTGACCTTCAAGCCATCTCTCTACCAAATAGCTCCTGCTGTTCATGTTAAAAACTCTCCACTGCATTCCTCCAAAGCACTAAAATAGAGATCATTTCTGCAGTCACAGCTTTTATGCTCGGGTTCATTTTATACCTTTGGTTTTCTGCAATTAATTGCCAACAATGTTGCCAATTAATGTCAATGTACTTGTAACACCTGTCCGTTAAGAAATGGATTGAACACAAAAATCTCATTATTGACAGAATAGTGAACAAGAATCAGGTTGTAATAACACATAATCACTACCCACCTGGGACAGCTGTGTACTGTTGACCCGGAGGAGGATCTGACTCTGTATCCCATTAGATATTACTGACCTAAGAAGGACAATGTAGGCAAAGCGCTTTGTTGCTTTCCTAAACAACTATATAACAACTCATTATGGGGCAACCAAAAAGCCTTCCCAGAAGGAGAATGAGTCCAGAAAGTCCTCCACTAAGTGAAAGACGTAATCAGACATGTCTCTATAATTAAGTTTCCACCAAGAACATAAAGGAAGGCAAAAGACCCCAGCTGGCTGGTACTGTCAATTTTTCATCTTTTTGCAACATCAAATTTGCAGAGCTCTACTAACGCCACACCTTGAAAGCAACCCAAGTGTTATTTTAGATTGACACACTGTTCTTTTGTTAAACATGGGCTTCAGGAAGGTTGAAGCTGGGTTAATTAATTTGGAATCAGAAATACTCAGGATCACATTACTCATCATTGTTAATCTTGCTTCTAAATATGTTTTTCATCTCATATTACAAATGCTATCTACTTTGCAGAAAGGCAAGCCTTGATGCCTCATCCTTGGAAGTATCCAAGATCAGGTTGGATGGGGCTTTGACCAGCAACCATCATGAGTGTCAGGACAACACAGTGATCAGACATAGGCAGCATGGGTTAAGGCA